TCTTCTTTTCATCATTGAATGATATCCCATTGTATGTCTATATTACATTTACTCATCCGTTTTTCTGTCTCTGGACCCTCCGTTGCTTCCACATTTTGGCTACTGTGAATAATGCTGCTCTGAACATAGGTATACAGATAATTTCTTCAAGATCTCCTTTCAGTTCTTTTGATATATACCCAGAAGTGGAATTGCTGGATCATTTGGTAGTTCTGTTTTTAATTTTTTGAGTAACTACCACGCTGTTTTCCGCAGACACTGTACCATTTTGTATTCCCACAAACAGTGCATGAGGGTTCCAGTTTTTTTTCATATTGGCATCAATAGTTGTTATTTTTGGTTAGTATTATTTTTTTTATTATAGTAGTCATCCTTCTGGGCATAAGGTGGTATCTGATTGTAGTTTTGATTTGCATTTCCTTATTGGTTAGTGATGTTACACACCTTTTCGTGTGCTTATTGGCCATTCATATATCTTATTTGCAGAAAAATACTCAGATATTTTATTAAACATTTTTGAATTGGGTTTTTTTGGGTTGTTAAGTTTTAGTTCTCTATATATTCTGGATATTAATCTCTTAGCAGATACATGATTTGCACATATTTTTCTCCCATTCTGTGGGTTGCTTTCTTACGCTATGAATGGTGTCTTTTGATGTATAAATTTTGAAGTTTTCGTGATGTTCAGTATGTCCATTTTTTTCTTTTGTTACTTGTGCCTTTAGTGTCATATCCAAGAAATTACTGCCAAATCCAATATTGTGAAGCTTTTGTCCTGTGTTTTCTTTTAATAGTTTCATTGTTTTAGGTCTTACACTTAGGTCCTTGATCCATTTTTGAGTTAATTTTTGTATATAGTAATAGTAAAGGTTCACCTTCATTCTTTTGCATGTGGATATCCAGTTTTCCCAATACCATTTGTTATAAAGACTGTTATTTCTCCATTGAATGATCTTGACACCCTTGTCAAAAATAATTTGTATATGTGAAGGTTTTTTTCTGGACTTTGTTCTGTTTCTTTAGACTCTGTGCCTGCCTGTATGCCACTACCACACTGTTTGATTACTGTAGCTCTGTAGTAAGTTTTGAAATCAGGAGCAAGTCCTCTGGTTTCGTTCTTCTTTTTAAAGATTGTATTGGCTATTTGGAGTCCCTTGAGATTCCTTGTGAATTTTAGGATGGTTTTCTATTTATGCAAAAAAAAAAGCCATTGAGATTTTGATGGAGATGGCATTGAATTTGTAGATCTCTTTGTATAGTATTGATATTTTAATAATATTAAGTTTTTCAGTTCATCAATATGGAATGTGTTTCCACTTATTTGTCATCTTGAATTTTTTTCAGCAGTGTTTTGTAGTTTTCATTATACAAGTCTTCCGCTTCCTTGGTTAAGTTAATTTCTAAGTATTGTATTCTTTTCAATGCTATAGTGAATGATATTTCTTTAGTAATTTTCTGTTCAGATTGTTCATTGTTCTTGTGCAGCATGCAACATGTGATGTACACAACATTTTTGTGTGTTGACTTTTTGTGTCTTGCTAATTTGCTGAACTCCTTTATTCTAACATGTTTTTGGTGGAATCATTAGGGTTTTCTACAAGTAAGATCATATTATCTGCAGAGATAATTTTACTCCTTTCTTTCCAAGTTGAATGCCTTTTGTTTCTTTTTCTTGCCTTCCAGCAGCAGAGCTTCCAGTACTGTGTTGAATGGACATGATGAAAACAGACGTCCTTGCCTTGTTCTTGATCTTAGTGGAGATGCTTTCAAGCTTTCACCATTGAGTGTGATGTTCATTGTGGGTTTTTTGTATGTGGCATTCATTATATTGAGATAGTTTCCTTTTATTCATAGTTTGTTGAGTATTTTATAGTGACAGGATATTGAATTTTGTCATGTACTTTTTCTGTATCAGTTGAGATGATCCATGTGGGTTTTCTTCCTTTGTTTGGTTGATATGGTATATTATATTTTGATCAATTTTTATGTTAAATCATCCTTTCTTTCCAGGAATAAATTCCTTTTGGTCATGGTATATAATCCTTTTAATATGCTACTGAAATCTGTTTGCTAGTATTTTGTTGAGGATTTTTGCATCCACATTCATCAAGGATATTGTTTTCCTGTGGTTTTTTTAATCTGGCTTTAGTATGAGAGTAATGCTAGCCTCATAGAATGAGTTTGGAAGTGTTCCCTTCTCTTCAATTTTGGGGAAAGTTTGGTACTAGTTTTGTAAGTGTTTTGTAGAATTCACTAGTGAAGCCGTTGGGTCCAGGGCTTTTGATGGTAGATTTTTGATTATTGATTCAATCTCCTTACTAGTTACAGAGCTATTCAGATTTTAACAACCATTCTTTTGAAACAGTCTTTGTTTTAAAAGTCTTATTAAAACAATACAGCATTATTGTTGTGTTTAAAAAGACAGCACCCATATTCTGCTGCTCTAATCCATTTAGTCATATTTTCACTGACTATATATTTGTGCATGTATGTTTTAGTGAAGTCATAATGTGTGTAAATTCTTCCATATTCTGTTTTTCATATGTTTACATGTCTCCCCCACTGTTAATGTATAGTCCCACCTATTTCCTTATGGCTTTTCTGTCTAAGAGAATTATGCCATATAATGCACCATCTTATCAGATAGCATGTAGGTCTGAGAAGTGCTTTAATTTGGTCTTTCTTGTCTTTTGACTATTGTCAGTGGGCTGATTAATGGCTTCATGGCCATTATACTATGACTTTGTGGAGTTGGGCTCTGATTTGGATTTATATGATTACATCATACCAACTTGTACTACGTGGAAAGTGTGAAGAATTTATTTTGCAGCCGTATGTCCCAAACTCTGTTTAGGACTCCGTGACATGTGGTCTGCTTTTCAGAGGCAGTGGAACTATAGTGAATTTAGTTTGTAAAGAATCCTAGGGGAAAGAAAGAAATATAATTGTTTTTTTGAAAATAAAAATGTGTAAAATTTTTGCAAAATAGTGAGCCACGTCTAAAACCTTATTTTAGTAGGAAATAGATAAGTGAATTTGGGTAGGAAAACTTACAATTGTCTTAAGTATAGATCCTCACCTTCTATAAGCAAGTCAGAGTCATTTAAAATTTCACTTAAATTTTACTTTTCCAGCCTTTTTTGGTAGACATGCTAATAATGATTCATAAATGTAATAAATCCCTTTTGTTAATTTTATATTGCTTATTTTTAGATTATTATAATGTTTAACAACTTGAAAAAGGAGATCTCAGTTTATTTATGATGCAGTTAATTTATGGCATTTGATGTTAGAGATGATAATGCATGCAGAGATCTGAGACACGTTGGTCGTTAGGACTTCTAAGCTGCTCGGCTGGCTGGTTTATTCCTCTGCAACACACTCTCTGTCCTCATCCCCAGATCCAACAAAACAAAGCAAAACTTCTTTAAATTTCAAGAACTCTAAGATTCTTTGGGAACTCAGTCTGGAAATCTGTATTTATAAAAGCATTACTTAATGTCACATCAGGGTGTAATTAGCATGTCTCTCCTAAGCCACCTCTTACTTTTTTTCCTCTCTTGCGTACTGTCCCCCCATTTTGTGTGTGTGTATGTGTTATTTTAAAAGCTTACCCCTCCCCGATTTTGATGTACTTGGCATATTTTCATACGTAGTCTGGTTGATTTAACGTGCACCACTTGGTGTTTTGTGCAGTGAAACTAACTAGGGAAAGGTTCCTGTCCTGCTGTGTTAGTCTCCAGTCTTAATGTTCTCCTGGGAGTCCACAAGAACTGCCCTTAGTGATAAGTGTGCCAGTGTCCCGTATACCAGTGACTGGTACAGCAGAGTGGTTAAAAGCTATTTAGGAGCCATGTTGCTTGCGTTAAATTGTAGCTCCACCATTGTATAATTTCAGCTTATTTTTGTTTTTCCTTTCCTGTAAAATAATAGTGCACACACTTCATAGGGTAGTTTTGAGGCTGGGCTGATACAAGTGAAGTGCTTAAAACAGTGCTTAGCACGTAGTAAGTGCCGTGCAGGGTTACCGGTTACAGTCATTCCGTTAGTGCACATAAAGCAGCTGTGACAGTTACTGGCCTGTTTCGTTGCTGTTTCCCTGTCTGGTATGTTCCTTTTGAGTGGTAATATTAGTAGCATCCCACTTTTTAAAACTAGAAAACTTTCAAAATTACCGTTACTAAAATAATACCGTATTGGTCATAATACTATTACGAGTTTTAATGGTTTTCCCTCACTGTTGACCTTTGCTTTTCTGAAGTTCACAAATAGGATGGTTATATTTTCTAACTCATTCTGAACAGTTAATATAAGTAGGCATTTAAAACAAGCCATACATATAAACTGCTTTTTTCCTGTGCCACTGCTGATTCATATCACTCTTCCTTTGCACTTTAAGGGCACAGCACGTTCACAGTGTAGTGGGTAATGTTCCAGACCTGTCTGAGCGTAGCATTGGAATGCACATCTGTTTATCAAATGACCACTAAAAACAAAGGTAGTTAGGAGTTTACTTAACCTCTTCTTCCACCAATTTACTGTATCATTGAGATTATTTCACTTGCCTCTTTTGTAATGAGTGACATTTTAGAAAATGTGAACATGTGATGACTTGCGACTTTACCCTGTAACAGTGGGGTGCAAAAAAGCAGATAAACTGTTAATAGTAAATGATACTGGTGTGTTTATTGACCCAAAAAAGGGGGGGCGTTATAGTAATTAGTGATAATTTATCCATCAGAACCTGAAACTACTTATTGAGATGAGAATTTAATGAGCCTGTTTTACTCTTAGTAAAGAGAACAGTACATTTTTTGTGTTTTTTTTTTCCTTATTTCCCCTCAACACAGGGAGGGGGAGGAAAGCAGGCACCCTCACTTGTAGTTAACTCATAGTTCTAAAATAAGCTGTATATTGCTTCCAAATCTAATTTAATCCATAGTAAATAAAAGTATCTTCATAAAGTAGTTTTAAATTTTCCAATTATGTTTCTTTAACAGATTTCTATAATCCAGGAGCTTGTTACTAATTATGAAGCCTCTCTTAAAACGTGTGACTTTTTTAGCCCTTATGGTAAGTTTTAAATTAGACTTAGTTGGAATTCGGTTACTCATTTCCCCATTTTTAATCACTTACAGTAAAACTATCTTACGTTTATTACGTATGTGCTTCATGATAGCGGTTCACTAAATCACTTTTGAATTAGTGGAGGAAATGAGAACACTTAGAGTCGGAGGTGATTAAACATTTCCATAATCTCGTGAGGTGGGAGTTAACCCGGTTTTGACCTGAGTAAACAGAACTGAGCGGTCCAGTGGGTTGACCAAGATCAGGCAGTTAGTTTATGTTGAAATGTACTTTTCCTGAATTCCTGCTTCTCTATTCTTTCTACTCTTTTTGTCACTTTCAGTCCTGTATAGTTTGGTTCTTTGTTTCTTTGTCTGTAGGAGGATATGTACATCAAGGCCACTTAATTTAGAAGGCACTCTAGAATATTCTAATTTCAGTCACACAGAGGGTAACTTTAGTTTCTTTATGTGTCATTTACATGTCATTGCCTTTTTGTTTCTGTTAGTTTGAAACGAATTTCATAATAAAACAGCAGACACAGAAGTAGATAATGATCCCTTGTGTCCCCATCACTCAGCCCCTTTTATCAATGTTTTGCTAGTATTGTTTGAAGTATCTTCTGTCTCTTTTTCTTTTCCTGGAGTATTTTTAAAGCAGACATACCGTTTCCCCTGTCAGTACCTTAGTATGCATCTCTAACTGTTTTAAAACACTTAAATAGAAGATGTGGTCACAGTCCTGTCTGACACAGAATGGAACTCCATACCACAATATCTAACACCCGGTCCACAGGCAAATGTTCCTGATTATCTACAAAAATGTCTTTGTATAATTGGTTTACTTGAATCTAGATCCAACTAAGGTCCACACTTTACCTTTAATTGTTATGTCTCTGATACTATTAATCTTGGGCAGTACCGTCCCCTCCCTGTTTGAAAATGCTGTTTGTTGTAAGGTCACTTGTCTTGTGGAAAGTCCTGTATTTTGAACTTGGCTGGTTGCTTTCTCATAAGATCATCTGATACGTTTTGTTATTATCCATGTTTCTTATAAACCTAGATTTAGGCTTGATTAGATTCAGGTTCCACGTAATACTTTGCATATGATGCTTTATACATCTTACATCACATCTGAAGACAGAAGATGTTCCAGTTGTCCCTCTTCTGATACTGAGAATGAACAGGGTTCAGGTGTTTGTCAGCCTGATCTGCCCATTAAAAAGTTCCTCACTGGCCTCTCACCTAATGATCTTTGCAGCCACTGAGGATCATTACCTCGATCCCTTATTTCATTGTAATGCTCATTCCTTTTGCATTTATTAGCTAGAATTCTTCTTATAAATAACTTCCCCTCATCAAATATTTGGTTCCCCTGAAATGTAGTTTATATGAGAGGAGCAAGGTAAATGCTTGGCTCTTTGCCTTTATTTGTTACTTCTGTTTTAATTTATGCTAATTTGTGTGTTGCATTGTTGTCATTTCATTTGGTTGGCCAGTCTAGGAGCCCTTCTGTGTTTTATGTGGTAGTTTTCTTTCCACTTTCTGTACCTCGTTTTATACCTGTATGTTTTCCCTTCTGAAACCCATTTTTGAGAGCTTGGTGTTTCTTTATCTCGTCCTGTAGCTTGAGGGTACAGGATGGGGAACTGGGTAAAACTTAGCTGATTGGATGTGATCACCTTGTCAGGAGTGTATCCTCTTCATACCCTTCAACTTTGGGTTTCCCTGGTTTAGGGTCAAGGCCTAGACAATGCTGAGTAAGCTCTGGCAGTCCTTGCCTTTGTGGAAATCTTGCAGTGGCAGTTAGGGACATCCTTTCTCCAGGCTGTTTTCCTTGGCTTTTCCTGGACCTGCTGCCTTATGCTCTCAGCCTGAGCATTCGTGGAGTTGGATTGATTGACTTCTTTTCCCCGACACTGGTTCTTTGGAGTGAAGTAAGGATTAGAACCTTGTTTCTTGTTTCTCTGCTTTGCTGCCACTTTTTGAACTTCCTGGCGTGAAATCATACCTCTTTCTGTTGAAATTGGTCATTTTTGCTGGGCTTTTACAGCTTACTATTGTGATAATTATTAATTTCATTATGCATTGGGGAAAATAAAGTATGTGATTTGCTTTACTTTGCCTTATTCCCTATAATAATTTTATATTTGTTTGATTACAGAGAAAGGGGAGAAAGAACCCCCAACAACACTGCTCTGGGTTCAGTATTTCCTGGCACAGCACTTTGATAAACTTGGGCAGTATTCTTTGGCTTTGGATTATATTAATGCTGCAATTGCTAGCACTCCAACTCTGATAGAATTATTCTATATGAAAGCAAAAATTTACAAGGTAAAATCTTAGTCATATGTTTTTTGAATGGTTGAAGAATCTGGCCATTTTAAGAACCCTTGGAGTTCTTTCTTTGTAGAAATAACTTTCAGGTACCCTGATAATCTATTCCTAATACTACAATTAATTCTAAGGAGACTTATGTTTAGCTGTATAATCAATATTAATCATTTCATCCAGCTTTTAGTAAACATGAATTGTAATTTATCTAAAGATTTCTGGATAAATTTGACAGAAATGATAACAGCTTTCTAATTTGTCTTTAGAACTTTTTCATTATATTGTACCCATGTTCTCTTAATCATAAACAGTGATTCTTTTAAAAAATACTGTCATCTTTTAAAGCATATAGGTAATCTCAGAGAAGCTGCCAAGTGGATGGATGAAGCACAGTCTTTGGACACAGCTGATAGATTCGTCAACTCCAAATGTGCAAAATATATGCTTCGAGCAAATATGATAAAGGAAGCAGAGGAAATGTGCTCCAAGTTCACAAGGGTAGGAAATAGCATGTAATTGTCTAAGTTAGTAGAATTAAGCTTAAGTTCTGTGATGAGCTGGGAAGTTTGCTGCTAAAGTTCCTGAGGATTCATTTTTGTTACTACTTTTTAAAGTTCCATTTAGCTCATATCCTGAGTATGGTTTCTTACTGTGGTTGAGTGTGTATGCGTGTGCTTCTGGTGGGAGATGGTTAAAAAGCAATCGCAGAAGCAAAATACCTTTGTACAAATTAAATTCAACATTCATTTATGATAAAACTCTCCAGAAAGTGAGCATAGAGGGAGCATAATAAAGGCCACATAAGACAAACCCATAGCTAACATTCATACTCAATGGTGAAATGCTGAAAGCATTTCCTCTAAGATCAGAAACAAGACAAGGATGCCCACTTCCACCACTTTTATTCAGTATAGTATTGGAAGTCTTAGCCATAGCAGTCAGACAAGAAAAAGAAATAAAAAAATCCAACTTAGGAAGAAGTGAAATTGTCACCGTTTGCAGATAACATGACACTATATATAGAAAATCCTAAAGACGCCACAAGAAAACTAATGGAATTCAACAGTGAATTCAGTAAAGTTGCAGTTGCATACAAAATTAATATACAAAAGTCAGTTGCATTTCTATACACTAACAGTGAACTGTCAGGAAGAGAAGTTAAGGAAGCAGTCCCATTTCCCAGCATCAAAAAGAATAAAATACCTCAGAATAAAGCTACCCGAGGAGGCAAAAGACCTATGTTGCAAAAACTGTAAGACACTGATGAAAAAAATTGAAGACTACACAAACAGCTGTGTTCATGGATTGGAAGACTTAATGTTGTTAGAATGGCCATACTACCCAAGGCAATGTACAGACTCAGTGCAATTCCTATCAAAATATCAAGGGCATTTTCTTATAAAACTAGAGCAGAAATTTTTGAAGTTTGTATGGAAACACAAAATACCCCGAATAGCCAAAACAATCTTGAGAAAGAACAAAGCTGGAGGAATCACACTCCCTAACTTTAGGCTATACTATAAAGCTACAGGAATCAAAGCAGTATGGTACTGGCACAAAAGCAGACATCTGGATCAATGGAACAGGCTAGAAGGCCCAGAAATAAACCTGTAGACTTATGGTCAACTAATCTGCAACAAAGGAGGCAAGAATATGCAAAGGAGAAAAGACAGTCTCCAATAAGTGGTGCTGGGAAAACTGGCCAGCTACATATAAAAGAATGAAATTAGAACATTCTCTGTGATACAGGAAAGTAAACTCAGAATAGATTAAAGACCTAAATGTTAGACTGGAAATCATAAAACTCCCAGGGGAAAACGTAGGCATAAATCATAGCAATATTTTTTTTGGATCTGTGTCCTAAAGCAAAGGAAATAGAAGCAGAAGTAAACAAATGGTACCTAATTAGAGTTAAAAGCTTTTGCACACAAAGGAAACCATCAACAGGATGGAAGGACAGCCTGCTGAATGGGAGAAAATATTTGGAAATGATATGACCAATAAAGGGTTAATAACCAAAACATATAAAGAGCTTATAAAACTCAACATAAAAAACAAACAACCTGATTAAAATTGAGCAGAAAGTGTGAATAGTCATTTTCCAAAGAAGATATGCAGGTGGCCAACATGCACATGAAAAGATGCTCAACATTGTTAATCATCAAAGAAATGTAGAATTTTCACTGTTTAGAATATTTGTGGAGCTGTTGATGCAAATTGGACATTTCCTAGAGTTTTTGAAATGAAAAATACTGTAGATTTCTTATAAACGTACGTAGTTATCAAAAAAGGCAAATATATGCAACCATAAAGAAGAAATAAAATAACAGCCATAATTTCATTTACCCAGTGATAACCAGTTTTTGTACTTTTAATGAGAATTCTGAAATTGAACTGATGGCTCAAAGTGGGTGTGGAATAGGAAGTGAAGGCTGAGCTCATTTATTTATGTAAATGTACCTTTGTTATCTTTCCTGGGGTCACATAAAATATATTTTATTTCACTTTATTTTTGTGGGAGGAGGCAAGCATAAAATATATTTTAAATAACTCTTCTAAGTTGTGACAAAACTCCAGTGCCCCTGTGCTGAAACTAGTTACTTTATGTCTTATACTTATCTCAGAATTCACAGTGAGCCCGAAATAACAGATTCCATTATTTGGTTTTGTCAACGCACTGCAGAATTGGCATGGAACAGGACATACTGTTAGAAGCAGACACATGGGCACAAAGAAAGTGACAACTGATAACCTAATGTGGAGGGAAGAGACTTGGGAAACTGAAAAGCAGGCTTGGAACTATTATTAAGAGATTTGGAAATGATGCTGTATGTAACAGTGATCCTAAGTGTGCAAGGAAAAGTTGAGTTGCTTTTGCTTCATAAGCAAAAGATAGGCAGTGCTTCATAGGATTACTGTCTTAAATAGATTAAATAAAAGCTTTGGTGTTTAAAAACTTAGCTTTAGTAATTTGGAATCTTTTTCTATGTAGGATGCTGAATACCTCAACAGAGCTGGATAAATAAGACATGTAATTTTAAGTTGGTAGGAGCCTTTTGGAAACACATTGATACATTTGTTATATAATTTCTTAATTCTGTTTATTGTCATAATAATCCTCGTAGACAGAGTTGTAGAAAGAGAAAATGAGATTTTTAGGGTCTCTTTTAACTGTTTGCTTCCTATATTTATGATTGCTTCTGTTTCAGGAAGGAGTATCTGCCATGGAAAATCTAAATGAAATGCAGTGTATGTGGTTTCAAACAGAATGCATTTCAGCTTACCAGCGTTTGGGAAGATACGGGGATGCCTTGAAAAAATGCCATGAAGTAGAAAGGGTGAGTTGATAGAATTTTGGCTTCATTTTTCTCCGGTAAGGTGACGAAAAAAGAAGGTAGACTTCTACATGGGATCATCTGCCTCTTCCAACTACTTTGGGAACTTCATTGTGAAAAAATTCTTGATTCAGAAGTTGTGAATAAATGCTTGCTTTCTTTTAATCCTCAAATGGTTACGATTTCGACATGTCTGCATATTTTTTTCTGAAGGAAGAAGGACAAGATTAGTAAGTTACTATTGCTACTATTAACATATATTCAAAATTTCTATTCCCTGATCAGGCCGGTATTTGATTTTCATCACTAGCCTAGAAGGATGCACAAGCTGATGGCCACCTCTTTCCTCTTTACGTCAGGATCTGCTCCATAGTCAGCCTCTCTCCAGTTTGTCTTCCCAGCGTATCTGTTCTCTGCACTTTGTACAGCAACCTGGGGCTGCTTTGCCAGCTTATTTTATTACTTGCTAGGGGTGTGTGTGTGATTTGCCCCTTAGTGAGGGGACCTTTCTTTTCCTTTGTGTGAATTTTTGTTTTCCTGTTCTTTGTCATCTCTGAAGCACTCTCCTTCCAAATGGACCACAGGAGGAAGAGAGCCACAAATGCACCCCTGAGGCAGGCCTCAGCATCCCTCAGCTGTGGGTCGCTCGGCACCACTGCCCCAAGCTGACGCAGTCTAGAGCCACAGGCGGCGTAGTCAGGTGAGCCTGATGTCTGCTCTCTGGCAGGCACTTTGGCCTTTTTCCCACGTGCAACTTCTGAGGTTGCCCGAGAGGAAGGCTAAATCTCAGGGGGTGGCTTTGGATGGGAACTGGAGCTAGGGTGATACCCAATCCCTTTTAGGAATAATAACCTAGTGTTTGCTTTGTTTTGTTCTGTTTTATTTTTTTTTCCCTTTTAAGCCTGGACTTGATGCTGGGGAATATCCTTCCCATCTTCTTGGAAAATATAAAGCCCTTGGATGACATGGGAAATATTCAGATGGTATCCAAGCATCCTAAGTTTAAATCAGGCTCTTACTTCTGTGACAAAATGGTAGACACTTATTTTGACACTCCTAGGTGATGATCACTTTAAAAGCATCTGCTTGTTACTACGGAAAGATACATTTTTACTAACCAGGACATTCTCAGGGAACAGTCCATTGCTCCCTGAATGAGGAGGCTGCTAGGCACTTACCGATCAGCAGTTCCAGCAGGACCATAACTAGAAATCTATCAGATTTTCTGTGGAAGTCAAATCTGAGCACCTTAGGATCATTATAAACTTCTTCACCTTCGAGTACCTCCTAACATTCATACCTGGGCTTTATTCTTTTCAGTAGTTTTTGAGGATTGTTAGACTATGATTACTGGCTGTTCAGTTACCACGTTTCAGTTAGATTGCACTTCCTCAAGTTTTAGCAATTTTGATCACCTGTGGTTTGACCCTTTAACGGTGTGGGGGTTTAGAGGCACTGACCCTCTGCACAGTTGAAAATCCCTGTGTGACTTCTAGTCAGGCCTTTGTAGTGCGATTCTTAAAACAACCATGGATGGTGAAGTTCTGAAGTATTTATTTACTATTGAAAAACTTCATGTGTAGGTAGACCCACATAGTATTGTTCAAGGTCAGCTGCACTTCCAGTTCAAGAAATATGTTTTGACTGGTAGAAAGCATTTTTGAAGGAAAAAAAATTTACAGGAATCATTGGTTATTGGAGATTAAAACATGACAGAAGATCACATCACCCTCTGGTCATGTTACATAATTATCATTGCTCAAAACTTTACAAAATGTCTTCAGGGTTTGCTGTTGGTGCTTGAGAATATAACCAAAAGCAGATAAACAAGAAAAGATCCTATTCATATTCCACTTGTAAGCTAGTCTTTGTAGTGAATAATTCAAATTAAAAGTAAGTAAGACTTAACTCTCCTAGTGGTTTAATATAAAAATGTTAGTGTAGTACAAATTGCTGATTGATGCTTCTGAAATTAATTTCTAAGAAAAATTAATGTAATCTAAAAGAAAATTCTTGGTGATATAGCTGTAAGGATTTAAGGGAAATCATGGAATTGAAAGACAAAATAGATATCTGCTTGAGTTACTTTTGTGCCTAGGTTTTAAATATTTTAGTACAGGAATGAGCACTTTTCAGAATTCAAACTTTGCGGTTGACCTTCCAAAGAGAAGATCAGTGAATAGAGAAATAAGTTCCAAGAAAGACTGATTGTTTCTTCTCCCTTTAAGAATTCATTCAAGGGTTCTTTCACTGGAAGCAGTTTCAGTTTAGGACATACTGCTGTGAGCGCTTAGTAGTGGAGTTTCAAGTGTTAGGATTCTGGAACGGCCCATCGTAGTGCTTTTTCTGCCTTCATCTTGCCCCGCTTACAGGATTTTAGGATTATATATAAAGGTTATGTAGTCCAACCCAGTCTGTTGTTTACAACTTGAGTTTTATTAAAAACAAAACAAAATGACCATCCTCAAAGTATTGGCTATAAAACTTTTGTTCAGAATAATTTGTTTTTTAAATGGAGGTACTCAGGATTGAACCCAGGACCTCGTGCATGCTAAGCACGTGCCCTACCACTGAGCTATACCACTCTCCCCAGAATAATATTTTTAATTATTTTATCTTTCAAGAATTGATTTTCTTTCTTTTCCCTTTTTTTCAGGTGGTTAGTTTCTCATTGTTTTAATATGCTGGTTTATATCTGAAACAGAGCAACAATACATATTTCTAAAATTTTTGATACGATCTAGAATTTGTGATAGATCAAAACCATAGGAAGTTCATAACTTTATCTTCTGGTGGTGTGTATCTTAATCTCTATCAAATTGACACATGCTTTATAATGACAGATGTTCCTATAAGGAAATAGAGTTGCTTATTGCCCTCATTGGTCTAGTTATTATTATTTAAGTCCAGAGATTTTTGTTGCCTTTCTGTGTATAAACTCTCATTAGTCTTCTCCCTGCATCTCTGAGGAGTAACATGTGAGAAATCTGGGTCAGAAGAGATGGCCTGGTAGGGAATTCCTAAAGAAAACCGCGCTCTTAAGCTGTGAATAGCATTTCTTAATTCTTTGCTGACTTGTCTTACTTTAATTCAAGCCTAATTTTGACAGTTTAAGCAACTCCTGCCAGCATTCCCCCTAAGTTGTCCCCCACCCCCAAAAGAGAGAATTAGCGTTGATACTGAGGGGAAAAGTGAGTTAAGGGCATGGGCTGTATGTGAAAATTTGGGTACCTGTTTTCTTCCATGAGCTAAGTGACCTCCTCCTGCTCATGTTTGGATAAAGTGCAGGGAAAATAACTTTACCTGTTTGCTTGTTTATGTCATCTAGTGTATTTTTACGTTTTATGAATTCGGAGACTTAAAAATCACCCCAAGGTAGTACCAGGGAGACCTTTGTGGTAATGGAACAGTTCTGTATCTTGATTGTGGTCGTTGTGACGCAAATCCACACGTGATACAATCACAGGGAACTGTGCACACACGTTATACCGCTGTCAGATTTGGTTTTGCTATTGTTACTATCCGTATGGAAGATGTAACCTTTTGGGGGCAACAGAGGGAAGAGTGTAGAAGGACATCTCTGTACTACTTTTTGCGAGTTCCTTTGTATATAATTATTCCAAAATAAAAGTTAAAGAGGAAAATCACCCTAAGATTATTTAGTTGTTTTTGAGTAGGGATCTGCCATTGCTGACTAGGTTTCTGAGAGAGAGGGCTTTCCATGGAAAAACTGAGAAAGCCTCAGACAAACTGGGATAAGCTGGTTATCCTCTTTATGGAAGACATTAACTGGAGAGAGGCAACCTGTGGGCTGTTACTGACAAAGAGGCGGCTTAAATGTTTGTGGTTCCATATGGCTCCCTCCAAGCCTTGACTTAAATCTGTGTCTGCTAATGCTGCTAGGAGTACCTCTTTCAACTTGTGTCTGCCTTTTTACACAATGTATCTCAGCCTAGAAAAAGTCCTGTAAGTTCTTAGAAGTTTTCATTCCGTACGTGTTCCATGATTTTGGGCACTGCCATTATTCCTCAGTCAGCTGTATTGAATTTTAAGATACTGTGTTGCTAGATGTAACTTCATTTACGTTAACTATGTACAGCTATGTAATCCCTTGATGGAAAAAACAAGTTTATGCTATTATTTGATTTGTCTTATTGGCAACTTTCAAATATAACATCATTAAAGCATGATTCTTGAAATATTAAATATAAACTACTACTAATATAAAAACTGAAATGTTCATTTTTTTCCATTTCTTTCCTGTCACTGTACTTTTATCCTTTTTAAAAAAATTTTTTATATATATTTTTACTGAAGTATAGTCAGTTTACAATGTTGTGTCAATTTCTGGTGTACAGCACAATGCTTCAGTCATACATGAACATACATATATTTGTTTTCATATTCTTTTTCATCATAAGTTACTACAAGATACTGAATATAGTTCCCTGTGCTATACAGTATAAACTTGTTTATCTTTTATCCTTTTTATCTTAGTAGTCTTCCCTTAAAGTCTCAGGTATTTAATGTAATTCCATGTATAGTGTACTTCTGATTACCACGACGACTTAAATTATCAAGTGATGTGAATAATTAGTAATGTGTCCTCTGCACACGTAGTTGCTAGGCCTCCAGGACAGAGGGAGAATGAAGTAGTGGAAGAGCTTGCTCTGTATTTGTGTAATGAATCATTCACTTTCCTGTATATTTTTGGAGGAGCTAAAATAGGGGAAAAGGAAGAAGACAGAGGTAGAGATGCATGTAGGGGAGAAGATAAAAGTATAAGTTGTTTCGTCTGGGGATTAGTCATCTTTCCATGTAAGGAATTAGTTCTGAGCCCTTCTGGTGCCGTGGACCCTCGGAGGATTGGATGAAAGCCTCAAGCTCTCTCCTTAGGAAAATGCTATTCTTGTTTATACGTAGACTCCAGATTAAGAACCTTTGCTAAAATAGAGTGGAGATAGATTAAAGAGAGTGAAGTGAGTGAGAGAAAACAGTAATGCTCTGCATTTGTTACAGCAGTTTACTGTTTAGGATGAACGTTAAAATACTTTTTTGATCCTTTAACAACCTTATGAAATTTGCTGTGTATATTTCTTTATTCCTAACATAGGTAGATAATTGAGGCTCTAGGAAATTAAGCGGTCACATGTCTGATAAGCAGCTTCTCCCCTGAGTTGGCAAATACCGTGCTTAATGAATGTCTGCTGTGCTAGGCCCTGTGCCAGGCAGTGGGGATGGAGATGACAGGCTGCCCTCGAAAAGCTCATGGCCAAGTAGAGCAGTCTGATTTGTAAACATTCACTGTGAACCTGTATGTATGTAGTTGCCATTCAGAGCTCTGTTTAACTCTGCCTTGCTGCTTTTGGGGGAGTACTGAGAAGTATTTCATGAAACTATAATATCAGTATGTTTTTTTTCTAGCTTTAGAAAATAACCTGATCATCTGACTTATTACATAGAAACTGAGCATCATCATCACAAAACACGATCTATAGGGAATGGGCATGGAGGAGAAACTTAAGTTGAAAGCAAAGAACAGCTTGATGTCCTTTATATATTAAACACTTTTTATGATTTTCTTTTAAAAGCAGACATTGACATCAGTGTAAAAGATAATTTTGTGGTTTTGTTTTTAAGCATTTTTTTGAGATAACCGATGATCAATTTGACTTCCATACTTACTGCATGAGAAAGATGACCCTTCGTGCCTACGTTGACCTTTTGAGATTAGAAGACATACTCAGGAGACATGCCTTCTATTTCAAGGCTGCTAGATCAGCAATTGAAATATACTTGAAATTGTATGATAATCCCTTAACCAATGAAAGCAAGCAACAAGAAATAAATTCAGGTAACTAAAGGGGAACTTGTTTAAAGAGATTTGAAAAGAACACAAAATTTCGGAATGTCATTAACATAACAAAAGGTAGAAAAATATATTGTCAAGTGGATGTGAAGACAGCATTAGATAACTAATATACCAAAAAAAAAAAAAATGTTGGGTTAAGACTTAAAAAAAAGTTGACAGGATGTCCTGTAACTGATGCTTCCAAATTACCCTAATGGAATGACTTGTCTAGTTTTTATCTTTGGTAGGACCAATTCAGGAAAAATAGAAATGTCTGTGGGCTGGGCTTTTTATTTTTTAATTGTCATTGAAAATAGGTTTGAGCTCCTTAGGGAAAAATATATATTCATACAGCTTCTCACACCTATTTGATTGAAAATAATAATGCCAATATGACTATCTATATTCACCCTTTTATTCACTAAAATGTTAATATCTAAGAATGTTTGTGAAATAGTCACATGGAAGCAGGCTTATGATCAGATGATGTGTTTAAGCGCATTGTCTCACTTATCCTTGATCTGTTCCAAGAGGATTGCTGGTGTCATCAACTCCACTTTTTACAGTTTGAGGCTTGAGACTGGGGGAGATGAAAGTGGTTTACCTAAACCCACGTATTGTGGAGGAGGCAGAGCTGGGTCAGAACTGGTTAACTTCAGTTGATGTAGCATTTGCCATTTGTGTGCCAGGTCTGAGCTAGTCCTTAGGAGTACACTTTCTAAGAACTTTCATATAGTTGTCCCTCAAAAACTAGACTAATGATATATATGAATAAGAGTATGAGGAAAATGGAAACACTGACTCAGAATTTTCATTCATTTGGATATTTATAGAAAACCTGTCAGCTAAAGAATTGAAGAAAATGCTTAGCAAGCAGAGAAGAGCTCAAAAAAAGGCTAAACTTGAAGAAGAGAGAAAGCATGCGGAAAGGGAACGTCAACAAAAAAATCAAAAGAAAAAAAGGGAAGAAGAGGAAGAAGAAACCAGTGGTCTCAAAGAAGAACTTATACCAGAGAAATTAGAAAGGGTGAGATGACTATCTTTGTTTTGACCATAAATATGATTTATTTAAATCTATCCTGACCATAAACATGATATATTTAAATCTATAAATCAGAAGCCATTTTATAGTATTTGTAGTATTAGCCAAGGTCCTTATGATGGTTATTAATTATTTTTGAGTGATGATATGTAAATTTTGGCTAATGCAGATTATAGATAGAATTGTAGTTATGGTAAGCAAACTAATGGTCCTCCAGATGTGTCCACATCCTAGTCCCTGGAACCTGTGAATATGTTACGTTACACGGCAAAAAGAATTAAGGCAGCAGATGGAATTTCTGGTTGTACTTAGCTGGCTTTAAAATCGAGTAGCCTGGATTATCCAGGTGAGCCTAATGTAATTAATCACAAGGGGCCTTAAACATGGGGCAGGGAAGCAGGAGAGGAAGTCTGAGTGGTATGAGAAAGACTTAGTCCTTTCTTGCTGGCTTTGGAGAGGGAGGGAAGGAGCCACAAGCCAGAGGATGTGGACAGTCTTGAGAAGCTGAGTCTTATTGACACCTTGATTTTAAGCCCGGTGAAACCCATGTTGGGCTTTTGAACTACAGAACTGCAAGGCAAAAAGTCTTTGTTGTTTAATGGAGGAAATTTTATCATTCATACAGAAAGTCAATAAGGAAACACAAGCCTTAAATGCCATTTTAGACCAGATGGACATAATTGGTATTTCCAGAGCATTGCATCTGAAAGCAGCAGAATACACATTCTTTTCAAGTGCACGTGGAATTCTCCAGGAGAGACCATGTGCTGGGCCACAAAGCAAGCCTTGGTATATTTTAAAAAACTGAAATCATATCAAGCATTTTTCCTGACCACAACTTAAGAGGCTAGAAATCAACTCCAAGAAAAAAAAACTGGAAAACCATGTGGAGGCTAAACAATATGCTACTGAACACCCAGTGGATCACTGAGGTAATCAAGAAATGCCTGGAGGCAAATGAAAATGAAAGCACAGTAACCCAAAACCTACAGGATGCAGCAAAAGCAGTTCTAAGAGGAGATTTATACCGATACAAGCTTACCTCAGGAAACAGAAATCTCAGATAAACAAACTTACATCTAAAGGAATTAGAAAAAGAAGAACAAACAAAATCCAGAGTTAGTAGAAGGAAAGAAACCATAAAGATCAGAGCAGAAATAAATGACATAGAGACAAAAAAAAAAAACAATGAAACTAATAGCTGGTTCTTTTAAAAGATAAACAAAATTGATAAATGTTTAGCCAGACTCAAGCAAAAAAGGCAGAGGGCCCAAATCAATGAAATCAGAAATGAAAAAGAAGTTACAATTGGCACCACAGAAATACAAAGGATCGTAAGAGAATTCTATGAACAGCTATAGGCTAATAAAATGGACAACCTAGAATTAATGGACAAATTCTTAGAAAGGTACAATCTCCCAAGATTGAACCAAGAAGTAGAAAATAAGAACAGACTAGTTACCAGTATTGAACTTGAGTCAGTAATTTTTAAACTTCCAACAGACAAAAACGTCCAAGACCAGATGACTTCACAGGTGAATTCTACCAAATACTTAGAGAAGAGTTAACACCTATCCTTCTGAAACCATTCCAAAAAATTGCTGAGGAAGAAACACTTCCAAATTCTTTCTGTGAGGCCAGCATCATCCTGATAACCAAAACCGGACAAAGATATCACAAAGAAAATTATAGGCCAGCGTCACTGGTGAACATAGATGCAAAAATCCTCAACAAACTATCAACAAACCAACTCCAACAAAACATTAAAAGGGTAGGATCATACATCATGAGTGGGATTTATTCCAGGGATGCATGGATTTTTTTGATGTCTGCAAGTCAACCAGTGTGATACACCACATTAACAAACTGAAGAATAAAAACCATATGATCATCTCAGTAGATGGAGAAAAGGCTTGTTACTTATTTGGTCATTTTTAGAATGGCCATACTTCCCAAGGTATTCCACAGATACAGTGCAATCCCTATCAAATTACCAATGACATTTTTCTCAGAACTAGAAAAAAATATTTTTTACTTTGTATGGAAACACAGAATACCCCGAATAACCAAAACAATCTTGAGGAAGAAAAGCAGAGGTGGAGGAATCACATGCCCTGACTTCAGACTATACTACAAAGCTATGATAATCAAAACGACATGACACTGGCACAAAAACAGACATCTAGATCGATGGAACAGAATGGAAAACCTAGAAATAAACCCACACACTTATGGTCAATTAATCTACAACAAAGGAGGCAAGAATATACAGTGGAGAAAAGACAGTCTATTCAATAAGTGGTGTTAGGAAAACTGGACAGCTACATATAAAAGAATGAAATTAGAACATTCTCTAACACAGTATACAAAAAGAAACTCAAAATCAAAGACCTAAATGTAAGATCAGATACTATAAACTGCTAGAGGGAAACATAGAACACTCTTTAACATAAATTGCAACAATATTTTTTTGGATCCTAGAGTTCTCCTAGAGTAATGGAGATAAAAATAAACAAATGGGACCTAATTTAAAAAGCTTTTGCACAGCAAAGGAAATCATAAAACAAAAAGGCAACCAACAGAATGGGAGAAAATATTTGCAAATTATGCTACCAGCAAGAGGTTAATTTCCAAAATATACAAACAGTTCATACAATTTAATATTAAAAAAGTTTAAAAACCCAATCAAAAAATGGGTAGAGGGCCTAAATAGACATTTCTTCAAAGATGACATCCAGATGGCCAATAGGCACATGAAAAGATGCTCAATATCACTAATTATTAGAGAAATACAAATCAAAACTACAAGGTATCACTTGACGCCAGCCAGAGTGGCCATCATTAAAAAGTCTACTAATAATAAATGCTGGAGAGGGTGTGGAGGAAGAGGAACCCTCCTACACTGTTGGTGGGAATGTAAATTGGTGCAGCCACTTTGGAGGACAGTATGAAGGCTCCTTAAAAAACAAAAAATAGAGTTATCACATATTCCTACAATCCCATTCTTGGGCTGCTTCATAGCAACACTATTTACAATAGCCCAGACACGGAAACAACTGTAATGTCCATTGATGGATGACTGGATAAAGAAGATGTGGTATACACACACACACACACGCACAATGTGTACACACACACACACACACACACACACACACTGGAATACTACTTAGCCATAAAAAAGAATGAAATAATGCCATTTGCAGCAACATGGATGGACCTGGAGATTGTCTTACTAAGTTAAATCAGACAGAAAGACAAATATAGATATCACTGATACGTAGAATCTAAAAAAATGATACAGATGAACTTATTAACAAAACAGAAGGAGACTCACAGACATAGAAAACAAACTTAAGTTACATACAGTAAATCTTTAGTAATTTGTTGGAGCAGCAATATAATTGTGTATTAAATATGGAAGCATTTTATATATCTCACTAGATAATGTTTTAGCTACAAAGAAATAGATCCATGATTTCTCAGAGTGTTAATAGTTATTTAGGAACCAGATTTAGGGAGATATTCAGCTTTCTGGTTTATTCACTTGAATCTAGTATAAATAATTTAAATTTGTCATTAACTTTTCTCAGTTACGTAATGTGGTTATATTTGTTTCCGTACCTTAAATGTTTGTAGTTTAAGGGGCTTGGTGGGATAATGATACTTGTAAGTATAATGGTACTTGGTGTACCATTGCCTTAAGTCTGTGGAGTAATCTCCCACATTTTCTTGGTTTTTATAAAATTATCTTGATTTTATAATCAGAAAATAGAGCTATTTCCATTTTGAAAATCATTGACTACTTTGTTTATAGTTGATAGTTTTAAAATGTTTTATTGCTTATTTAGTTACATTGTCTAAATTATTGTATGCATTAATTATATGCATTAATATAAAATTTAGGGGGAAATTTGATGTGTATAACTGATTTATAAGTATAATAATTTTTCTTTCTGTTTCAAAATAGACAGAAAATCCATTAGAAGAAGCTATCAAGTTTCTTATACCTCTTAAGAACCTTGTTGCTGATAACATTGACACCCATCTATTAGCATTTGAAATATATTTTAGAAAAGGTAATAAATAATTTGAATTCAGATTTTAATCCTTGGTTTTATTGGTGACCATATTCAGTTTAATCTTTGTGAGTTAAATCTGTTTTTGTTTCTTAGAGTATCATTCCAGCCTTCCACAAAAGCTATTAATCCCTTTTTTCTTTGCTGCTCAAACCTTTACTGAGTAGTAAATTACGTTAGTATGATCAAATGAATAATTTGAAATCATACAGATTGTTTGCCTGAAGCAATTCCTCATAATTTTTCAAGCATTCCTTTAGAAAATAAAAGTTGTTTTTGGTAACCAAAGTCAGCTTTCAGTTTTGCTTATGAGTGTTTTAGGAAAGGTAACATTTTGTTCCTGCATTTTAAGTGAGTCTAAAATAAAGTGAAGAGAACATGCATAAATATTGATCCTGTTACTGTTATATTTTTTTCTGACAGGAAAGTTTCTGTTAATGCTGCAGTCTGTCAAACGAGCTTTTGCCATCAACAGTAATAACCCATGGTTACATGAATGTTTAATTAAGTTTTCTAAATCTGGTAAGTATAAGAAAGGAATTATTTATGTAGAAGTAAATATAACAGTTCAGCTGTCTTCCTTTTAAGCTGGACATTAAAGAGATTTGCAACAGTGTAAAGCAAAAATAGATATAATATTTATAGTATTTATAAAGATGTGTCTATAAAATGAACATGCTGGCAAAGATGCGTTAGAAATTAGTGAATTTTTTTGTTTGCTTGTTTGAACACTTTTTTTTAAACATTTTTTATTGAGTTATAGTCATTTTACAGTGTGTCAAAATTCCAGCGTAGAGCACAATTTTTCAGTTCTACATGAACATACATATATTTATTGTCACATTTTTTCGCTGTGAGCTATCACGAGATCTTGTATATACTTCCCTGTGCTATATAGTATAATCTTGTTTGTCTATTCTGCATATGCCTGTCAGTATCTACAAATTTTGAAATCCCAGTCTGTCCCTTCCTCCCCCCGCCCCCTTGAGAAATTAGTGAATTTTAAGCTAGAGTGTTTTTATATTCCAAAGGAGCAATAACATTTTTGACGTGTAAAATACATCAAGCTTAATAATAAATGACTATATATCAAATGATTTTGTTTCAGCGGACAGAATTTTTTAATTCCAAATGTTCTGTTTTTATAGTGTCTGATCACAGTAATCTTCCAGACATTGTGAGTAAAGTTCTGTCTCAAGAAATGCAGAAAATATTTGTCAACAGGGACCTGGAAAGTTTTAATGAGGATTTTCTCAAGCATAATGCTACCTCTCTTCAGCATCTACTTTCAGGTTGGTATTTAGCTCCTGGGTTTAAACGTTTATGGAAAAAAGTTAGAATGTGATATTAAAGGAAAAAAAAGTTTGGAAAGATGATCCTCACTAATTAAGAGAGAGAAAAAAATGAATGCAAAACCATGTTGATCTTTCAAATTAGGAAATTTTTTTTTTTTTTGAAGGAGATTGAAGGAGATGGGAAAGATGTGGTGTAAAAGCCCTCTTGTATTTTGCTGCTGTAGGTGTGAATTGGTCCAGCCATTTAGGAAAGCAGTTTGTCATTCTTATTAAGAGCATCACATTACCTGTGCCTTTTGCTGTAGTCATACATACCTGTGTAAATAATTTTAAAGATTTAATCTAAAGCAAAGAAAGAATTTTAAGGACAAGGATGTTAACTGAAATGCTGTATGCAAGGATGGGGAAAAGAATGAGGCAAATTTAATTCATGTCCAATGATATGGGAAACAGTAGCAGGTTCATAGGATGGGAATACCAGGTAGTCATATAAAGTGCTATTTATTCAGAAGTTTGAAATAACAGGACTAACATACAATACCATCTCAACTATGTAAATATATACATGGCATAAAGGTTGGAAAGAAGTATATTCTAAAGCTTTAAAGGTTGCCTTTGGGTGTCATGGTTATGAGTAACTTATATTTTCTTGTGTTTTTATTACTTTACTTATTTTGCGTTTTGAGGACTTATATATCCTGCTTTGTTACAGGAAGGATTTTAGGTGGTTTATACCAATTTATAGAATAAAAAGATACAAACTAAATGCAAACTTGAAAAAGATTGTGGAAAAGGAATTCAGGACAAAATGAAGTACATAATATAATTCACCATGCTCCTACTTTAAGCCGCATATTTAAATATTTGAACCTAAGCTTTCTTGTCGTAAAGGGAAACTTCTTGGTTCTATCATTTATGGAAAAAAGTTAGTACCTCTGAAAAATCAACAACACTTCTCGGTAGTAAGGGCTAGATAAGAATTTCTCTTCAAGCACACAGGATAATAGAAGAAGATACTTCTTTATTATAGTAATGAGAAATGTCTTTCTAAACATTATGTGAAATTCTAAGGAGAAGATAGTTTTTGCCACATTAAAAGAAAACCACACCATAATGACAGTCACAAGGCCAAGTGGGAAAAATATTCACAGATATGTAACTGATTAAAAGCTAATAGTATACATATAACTGTTATAAATTCACAATAGAAATGTAAATAAACAAAAGCCCAATTAAAAATGAGCGTAGAATATGGACCATGTAGTTGATAGCAGAAATTATTTAAAAGCAACTTTAAAAATTACATACTTTCTTTGTGAATATGCAGACATTTTCCTGTTGTCCATCTCGCACACTGCTCTTTGGCAATAATTTGTTCCTTAGATGTTTTATTTTAGGGTATCATCTTTTAAAAATAATTTTAGTTGAAATACTGATTGATGCCACAAGGTAACCCATATTTACATTTATTGTTACATCATTTCTTAGGGATGAGGCTGTTAAATCTGGTCTCCTGGTAGATGTTTAAAAACCATCTCTTTGTGACAGAAAAAGCCCTGATGTGTAGTATTCTGCCATAGTGTGAATACTCCCAGTGTGACCCAAAGCTGTCATTGGGATGTCCCGGGCTAGGGAGCTGGGAAGGGACGGCACCGCTGGCTCCCGAGAGCGGGTAGGTGCGGCCCCAGCCCCCGCTGACTGGGCACCTGCTGTCACTGGGCAGTGCGAATCATTTTGAAATGTCTTGGTATTTCAGGTGCTAAAATGATGTATTTTCTGGACAAGTCAAGGCAAGAGAAAGCAATTGCTATTGCCACTAGACTGGATGAAACGATAAAAGATAAAAATGTAAAGGTAAGATTTTTCACAGACTGATTTCTGCAGATTACGGATACTGAGTGATGTAACGCAACACGTCTTTACAACATAATTCTTGAGGGAGCCTTCACAGTTATGTCTGGATTTGAATCTCAGCTCCACCCATTAGGAACTGTGTCACATTAGGCAAGGTACCTCTCTTAGCTTCCTTTTCCTCACTTATAAGATAAGAATGAAAATACTATCCATCTCAGAGTTGTTATAAGGGTCAACTGAAGTAGTAAACTGAGGTTGCTTGGCACACAGTAAGCACTCAGTAAATGGGAATTATTGTTATTAATCAAGGACGCTTCCATTTTAGTGATCACAGTTTTCAGAGATTCACCTTTTCAAATATTAGAATTTTACTGCTTTTTTAAGGCTTTGCAGTGTTGATTAAAAAAATCTTTTTAATTTATTATTATTTTATTTTGCAGAGGGAGGTAATTGGGTTTGTATTTATTTGCTTATTTTTAATGGAGGTACTAGGGATTGAACACAGGACCTCGTGCGTGCTAGGAACGTGCTCTACCACTGAGCTAGACCCACCCCCTCAGAGCTGATTTTTTAAGTGTTCCTTTTTTGAGGGGATTACTTACTATAGATAGCGAGAAATTAGTTTAAAATGAGGCCTTGTTAAGTTTTCTCTAGCTTAATTAAATTGCATCTTTTGATTAAAGTAATTATTAACCAAACTTCTTTTTTTAAAAAAATAATTTTTATTTTCCCCTGTTTAAATAGACTTTAATAAAGGTTTCTGAGGCACTGCTTGATGGCAGCTTTGGGAACTGTCATTCCCAGTATGAAGAATACAGGGTGGCCTGTCATAACCTGCTTCCTTTTACTTCTGCTTTCCTGCCTGGGGTGAACGAAGTCAACAGTCAGAACGCAGCGCGCAGCCAAACAGCTAACTATGATGTCTTGGCAAATGAAACTTGAAATCCCGTTGAAAGTTGATGCCTGTAAGACGCAAAGCTGAATCCAGATCAGGGTTTCCTTTGTAACTTGTATTTTAATATAGATATGAAATGAAACACAGTTGACCCTTGAACAGCATGGGTTTGGATCGCAGGGGGTCCACTTACATGTGGATTTTTTTCAGTATTAAATACGACAGTACGGCGTGATCTGCAGTTGGTTGAATCCATGAATGCGGAACCCCAGATAGGGAGTGACCGCATATGCAGAGGGCCGACGGTAAGTTCTAGGTGAATTTTTGACTGCACGGGGGTAAATAACTCTTGCTTTTGTTCATGAGTCAGCTGTAATTGGATAGAATTTTGAAAGGAGTTCTGTAAGCTTATTTTATTCTTCATCTGATTCAGACAGCTTACATAAATGTCTGTTAAAATTACCTGTTTATACTTGCATAGTTTTCTTAAACTTCTGCATTATCAGCATTGTGATGGGTGCTGTCACTTCATAACTATGGTAATTTCTTAATTAACCTGTCTACAGCTCCACTGTATTATTTTCCTTAGCTCCTGGTTTCATTTCTAAATCTGTGTTTTGATCCCTTATTGATTTGTTTTGTTATTGTTTACTTGCTTTTTAGTTAAAGTACATCAATTTTAAAGTGTTAATAACTATATGTGAAAAACAATAAGGAACTCCTTTTGGCAGATATTTATTTAGAACTTAACTTCAGTTTGACCTCTTGTCTAGCTTAATTTTTGTGTGTGTGTGATTTATCATTTCCTTTTCAATATTCATGAAAATGATATTTTCTGCTGAATGAGGATACTCCAGTTTTATATTGATGATTCAGTGTACAGAGATGTGTTTGCCACTTAATCATGGAAATTCACTGATAAATTTGTTGCATATCTGTCGATCAGTCTTAAAGGCCCACAGATGAGAATTATGCTTTCTTCACTAAATTGCTTTGTGTGTTACCAAGTAGTTTATAGGTGAGTGGTGTGCCACTGGGAACCATAATGGGGCAGATTACAAATTATAATGAAACATGCATACTCTTACAGCCATGTGTTGACTATTAAATACGTCTTTATATCAGCAAAATGAGAATTTAAACTATCAACTAGCTTAACTCTTAAAACATAGTATTATTGAGCAATATATTTTTGGGAGGATGACTTTTTGTTTTTTCTTGTACAGAAAACAGTAATAGAACCATTTAATGTGTTTCTTTCAGAACTGTGTAAATATGTCAGTAATACCAGTACTTTCTTTTAAGGCAACTATAAATTCAAAAGGGGAGATTTTATTTAGAGAAATAATTAAAATAGTTTTCCATCACTCTAAGCTGATACTTAGATTCATAATTGTTGAGAGAAAAAACTAACTATAAAATAATGTCAACCTATATATGCTGTAATAAATTATTTTGTACACAGTTGCCTATTTGTGCTTATTATTGCTCCCCACTATCAAAGTATTTTTGCAAAATGGTTTTTCCTTGAGGGAGTAAAAACTTCATTTTTATACGTTTATTTAAAAAAAATAACCACCTACCGATGTATTCTGGTGCCTCAGCAGCTTGGCTTCTTTTTGGTGTTTTAATAATTTTAGAAGTAGGCAGTTTTTGTCGCTAAATATCCTGGGAAACATGTAATTCATTGTGTTACATCTTTTTGCTGTTTGTCCATCCAGAGCCATCCACTCAGCTCTTCTCTTTGGACATTTTATTTATTTAGCTTCATTATAAGTGCCCTGATGTCTCCAGCCTGGTCTGTTTTGAGTGGGAATCACAGAGCCCGGCACCAAGTAATCCTGATGACGAATGCTTGCAGTCACTAAGTACTCGGAGTACTGTCACCAATCTCACTTGACCCTCCTAGTTGCCCAGTGGGAGAGGCATCGACTATCCTCGTTTTACATGACACTAAGCTAAGAGGGGTGGAAGCTTTTCCCAAGGCCACACGGATTTTCCGTAGCAGAGCAGGATCCACACCTGCTGCTTCCAACTTTGCATCGCGTTCCTTCCTATCTGTCATCACGCTCAGTAGTCCTTGTACTGTCTTACCCATTGGTCTGGCCTTGTATGTGTTTAAAGTCTTGTCTCAGTAAGAGAGTTGGTTTCCTGAGAGCAGGACCCAGGCTAAGCCCCCAGCAGGATCCACTCCCTGACTTACGCTTAGTTCCCAGTTAGCAGGTTTGCATGAGGCTCAGAGCAGCAATTGGCTTTCTGAAACTTCGAAGTGAGTTCATTGTTTCCCCACTGGAGGGCAAGCTTTCCAACTCAGTTTTTACTTCTCTGATTTCTTAAGAATTAAAAGAACAACTGTACGTGGGCCTGAGTTGTTTTCTGGGTTTTCACTATTTCGGGGAAATCACGTTGTTTCCATATGTTGGAAGTTGTGTAATATATACATTTCTCATTCATTGAGTCCTGAGAGTTGTCTTTTGTAGAGATTAAAAATCCCCCGTGCAGCTTTTGTTAAGTGTAAAGGCACTGCCCAGTGGAGTTCTGTGTGGCAGCGGGCTTTGATCTGAGAGGGGAAGAATGGGTGCTGGTTTTAGGTCACACCCTCCCGCAACCCCCTTCTCCTTGTTTCTAGAGTAGGAGGGTTAGCCAGGTGACCAGTATCCCACGATTACTGTGTTCTCAAACTAGAAGGCCCTTCGAGTCAAGGATTGTGTAGACCCATCTTGGTTACCCCACAGGTACCTTCCCTGGCACAGAATATGGCCCCGGGAACGCGGGGCAGTTCTGCCTCTGCAACCTTCTGCTAATTAAAGTGGTGGAAGCAGCCTGGGTCTGTGCCCCAGTGAGTCACCTCAGCCCTCTTCCTGGGCTCAAAAGTCTACACAATGGGAGTCTTAAGTGGGGGACAAAAGCAAACCAAGGCTTTGAATACACTAATCCAACTTGTTCCACGTATAAAAATAATATGGCGCTCTCTACACATACAGATCTAGCTGCCTGTTCTTGTGCATGTGAGGATTCAGGTTCCCTTCCTGCGCCCACGGGTCTGCTGCTGAGCCTCGCTGCAAGACCTCCGTTTGTAGACCCTGAGGAATGTGTCACAGCACAACTGCATGTCTTCTCCCATGGTCACCAGGGGATCTGAGAGTTGTGTGCACCTAATACAGCCTCTTCCAAATGCGATATCCATCAGCCACTTTTGCCAGGGGGACGAGTAACTTGTTTCAGTGGGTTCTTAGATGCTCTCGTCTCATCTTCATCTGTCTTTGCTGGTAGGGGAGAGCTTTAATCGACAGCACTACATCAGTGGACGTTCTCCCTTAAAGTCAAGAGAGTAGGACCTGGAGTGAGATGATACTTTGAGAGCATCAGAGGAGTCTGATCTATTTAATTCTACACTTACAAAGGGAATCTTTTTTATTAGCAGAAATGATAACTGTCTTATCTCTGTAATGTGAAACAGTGACCACTGACAACCAACAAACAAGTTGGGGAACTGGGGATTGACTGACTTTCATCGATATTCATTTGTTGCATTTTTTTGTTTGTTTGTTTCTTCTAATTTATGAGTAGGCATCAAAGCTTCAGGAAAATTTGTAATAGAAGAACTTGAAGTGGTAAAATGCCATCAGTTGCTTAATTTTCCCACCGATGGAATAAGGCTGCCATTAGTCCATGTTAGTGGCCAAACATACCTAGCTGAAGACACAGCCAGACCTCCTAGGACCAGAGTTCAAGGACCACTGCCCTAACCCTTCAAGGCTCTGCTCTACTGTCACCACCTTCCTGAACGCTTCCCTGACTCCTCTGATGCAGTTTGTCTACCCCAAATACACATCAAGCCACCTTACAGCAATGATCGCACTGCATTTGTCACACCTACCTTGCTGGGGTGTTATATGGTTACGTGTCTCATCCCCACTACTGGACTGTAAGCTTCTTGAGCCCAGGGATGTGCGTCACTGCCTGGGTTTGAATCCCTACTCTGCCACTGGCAGCAGTGTGATCTTTGGCAAGTGATTAATCTCTCTGCCTCCGTTTCTTCATCTATAGAATGGAGCAATCGTACCTCCTTCATAGAGCTGCAGTGAGGATTAACAAGTTCCATGCAAACCACCTAGAATGGTGCCCGAACAGTTGGTGCCACATCCGTGTTTGTAGTCGTTGCTGTTACTTCTCTGTCTCTCCCACACCACCTTGCTAGGCCTTCCTACCAGGAGGTGGGCTCCTGATGGATCCTGCAGAGTAAGATGGCTTTCCGCTGTGCCTTGAGTTCTTATTCAGTAGGAGCTTTGTGGCCAGCCCCCTTCTCAGGACCTATGAGGCCTCCTGTGCTCTCTCTCTCCTACAGTAGATGCCAGCCCACCAGGCCATGCCCTGTCTTCTTAGTGGAGCTGCTGTTGAAAGACTACTGAGAGGGGAAAGGGTATAGCTCAGCGGTTGATCACGTGCTTACTGTGCACAAGGTCCTGGGTTCAGTCCCCAGTACCTCCATGTATATAGATGGATGGATGGGTGGATGGATAGATGGATGGATGGATAGATAGATAGATTATAAAATTATCCCCTCCAAAGTAATAGTACATTTGTATGATAGAATTTTATGCTCTTATTAAAATTCCAATTATGAAGGCTGTATAGCATCACCAGAATATTTAGCCTAATGCTCAGAAGGCATGGATGGTGACTGCCGCTGTGTAAGTTCTGTCTGCATGTGGACAAAATCTGGGAGATGTCTGCGGAAAGCGGTGGTATGTTGTGGGTGACTTTTGTTTTTCCTTTTAAAAACAGTTAATGTTGCTATAACATTTTTCCACTTAAAATACCTATTTATTCTTGCAAACTTACAAAACCCAAAACAGTTCAGCCTGGCTTCCACATTCTCCCTAATGCATTTCTAGCCTACCTCACCCCTCCATGTTTCCACTTTGTGGTTCTCTGCTCCAAGAGGTTACAGTCAAAATGAAATCTCTCAACTCATCGCTTTCAACAGAGAATTTACCAGAGTAATCAATATATTAATTTTTTCCTTGGCTAATAAGCAGGGAAGATGAAGATAAAATTTTAAGGATCTTCTGTTGAACAAAGTAATTTAAACTTGAAATAATTTAAGAGTAACAAATACCTTTTAATACAACTAGGTACATCTGGCTACATGATAATCAATTAGGCAATTTAGAAATTCTTTATTACGGGATTTTCAAATGCACCAAAATGTAGAAAGTATAGGACAACAACCCCCCTCCCCCGCCATGTAGCTATCCCCCAGCTTCAGCTGCATGAAATGAATTGGGGAAAGGTTGAGAAATGGAGTCCACCCACCCCTTTTCTTTCAAAACAGTGTAAGGAGAACTCTAGTCATCCTGTCCTTTCACCAGCTTTTCTGCCTTCAAATAACCACCATAGCATTACTACCCTGAATGAAATGTTTTGAAATTAAAACTTACACAGCACAGGAAAGAATGAAATAATTCCATTTGCAACAGCGTGGATGGACCTAGAGATTATCATACTAAGTCAGTCAGACAAAGACAAATATATATCACTTAAATGTGGAATCTAAAATATGATACAAAGGAACTTACTTACAAAACAGAAACAGACTCAGAAAACAATCTTACGGTTACCAAAGGACAGGTTGAGGGGGTAGTAAAGAGTTTGGGATTAACAGATATGTACTACTATATATAAAATAGATAAACAACAAAGACTTGTATAGCACAGGGAACTATATTTAATATCTTGTAACCTATAATGGAAAAGAATCTGAAAAATAATACATATACATATATATATATAATATATATACATATATAAAATAACATATATACATATATATAAAAAACTGAATCACTTTGCTGTCCATCTGAAACTAACACAACATTGTAAATCAACTCTACTTCAATAAAAATTAAAAAAAATTTTTTTAAAGCTTATACAACACAGGAGAGAACAGTAAACTTTAGAAGGCCACATGCTTCCAAGGGGGTTTGTCACAGGTAATCGTGTAAGGATACTGTCATGAAGGGAAACTACGATAGGATGGTTAATTACAAATGTACACTTTCCAGGCAAGTCTGCAGAAAGAAGCAGGCAAGAGTTCCTTCTGAATGACTTCAGCCTCCATAGGCTGGATCTGAGCAGTTTTCAACAGCTCTGGTGAGAATTTCATCTACTACTTGAACTTCCATCAACAGCTCTTGTCTGTCATTGGCTTTCTTAGTTAACACCTGCCAACTCAAGGATACAGTCAGGACTTCATCTGCTGACCTGAATCAGAAATAAAACACATAATAGGGTGGGGGAGGAAGGGAGAATTAATTGTTTCAAAGTTACCAAGTTCCTAGTATTCTGCTTCCATGCTGCCTTCTCCCTCTCATGCCCACCCTCCACCCCACTGTGGATCTTAGCTCTCCAGACTCTCCACCCATTCCTCTTTTGGAACATATGCTTTTCTTCTCCATTAATGCA